AAAGTGTTCATAAAACATTTTCTGAAACCACACAAGGGGTGGGAGGGAAGCACACCATCCCATCACACCTCCACTGGCAGGACACAAGCCATTTGACATCGACACAGTACCCCCCGGACGCTAAGTTCTAGGGAGGGAAGGGGAGGGGAGGGGAGCAATTAATGACCTTCCTTGGACACCAGCCCCACCCGCTGTAACCAGCAGCTCTCAGACACGCATGGGTGTCCCACAGGGTCATCAGCCAAGGGGCAGGAGTGGAGAGGCCTGTCACTGTCACAGCTGCAGCCCACTATCGGCCCCAGGGAGAACAAGAGCATCTGAACATTTGCATTGGTTGCAACCGAAGTTGAAGGTGGAGGGAGGTTGACAGACCCTTCATTTCTCAAAGGAGGGCCCAGAGAAGCGAGGCAACTTGCTCAACGTCACACAGCATCTTGGTGGCTGGCGGGAGCCAGGAAACCAGGGCGCCTGCCCCTGCGGGGAGCAGGGGGATGGGGTATTTCTGCTCCACCTCGTAAAGAGGAGGGGTCTTGTCACTTGGCTGCCTAGAGCTGCCCGCTTGCTGGCGGTGGCTCCAGATCACAGAGGGAGCCCGGGAGACAAGACTTGCCTAGATCCTGACTACTAACAAAGCCTTCGTGCGGACTCAGAGGACTGCGAAGAAAATTACAGCAGCCAGTGCTCGGACGTTTATTCCGAGTCAGGTAACACACAAGGTGCTCCGGTACAGGCCTCGGTGAGAGCTGCTAATTCTTCTGTGAGGTCAGTGCAAGCACTGTCCCTACTTGATAAAGGAGACCCAGCTCAGAAAGGAGAAATAACTCACCCAAGTTCACACAGACAGCAACGGTGGCCAGAGTCAAACGCTGACCCAGTGCGGCCCACGCTCACTGTCTACCCAGTACCACCTGCTGGGACACACGCTCCTGACCAAGAAGTGCTGGTCCGGTGATGTTCCTCTTACTTCCTCTCCCCATCAAGGCCATGCCGGCCACTGCTACACAGATCAGGATGGGTAGGGGGGCCACAGGGAGAAGGACGTCAGCCACCAAGGAGAGCA